CCGGCAGCACCATGACCCCCCCGCCCAGCGGGTCCAACCCCTATGCCCGCAGCCGGCCTCCCTTCGGCCCCCAGGGCTACACCCAGCCGGGACCCGGCTACCGGTAAGCACCTGCCGCTGAAAAGAGGCCGCTGGCACCTACGGTTCCACCCTGACAGACTCCAGGATTTTTAATTGAGATTCCAAAGCTGTAATGAGGCAAAATGATAGCTGTTAATTGAATTCTGCTGGGGGGAGGGGAGCGACCAAACAAATCTTTCCTGCTTTAAATTGTATACGCTTCCTAGTTTAATTTGGGGCTGGGTTGTTTTTGGGAAACACTACCTAAATATGTGTAAAGTGATGGGCATTCTAGCTTGCCTTGGTGGAAGGATGTGAAAATGCTAGTTGGAAGTTGAGCCCACTTATCAGGCTTGTTTTTACTAATACCATGATGTACTAAATTTAGATTCATTTTGGAGGTGAAAGTAGATATGATGTATTATAAATTGTAATGCTCACATGGAAAACTAATAAAAACCCTGAATCTATTATTTGCCAGATCTCGATTTTAGAATTTAGGTAATGCTGAACAAGAAAACTGCGTGAAGTGTGCATGCTGGGGTATAGATACTGAGGTGCTCGGGTTTGCACAAGAGACCGGTTTTCAGGTGTGGAAATGGGGAAGCGCCATGACTACTGATTGCTTTTGCAGAGGTTATGCAGCAGTGGATGGGTTTGTGCTGCCTGCTGTTACCAACTGCCAAGTAACCCTTTTACCAAATGAATAAGAACCAATACATAAAATCTTAGAACCCCTCACTGATTTCACTTTAACAAGGGCGGGGGGAGAATTGGTTTATTACTTGAAAATTTAAGCCAAATTCATATTTTTTAAAAAAGAACTCTTAAGTAGGAACAACTTTCCACAGGTTCTTTGCCACCCAGAAAAGCTTGGGAGTGCAATTCTAGTGACTTGATTTCTAGCCAAGAAAAAGCAGATCAAGAGCTGTAAAAAATTCAATAGACCATATAACAGCAGAGGGCAAAACATTCTCCCAGTTAATATTTTCCATCTTACTGATTCTAGGAATACATAAAACTAAGTGGGGAATAAAAAAAAAGTTAACTGGAGCAAGCTGCTTGAACTCTCATAAAGTCAAATTAGGAAATTAAGTGAAGAGATTCCTACCTTCAGCATCCTCAAATACTGCTGCTCCCACATCAGCTGTGCTGTCCTGGGAGCTGTACCTGCTCCTGTTTGTGCTCCTGTCACACCTAACACGTCAGGTGTTCATCACACCATTTAACATGTGCCTGTTTCAGAATAAAGTGCTTCTGAAAGGATAGTGTTTGCCACAGAAACTAGTATTTGTTTTCACATAAGACAATAAGAAAGACATTTGATTAAAAAATATTTTATTAGGAGTACAGTGTACCTGCAATGTACTTTATAAGGTATTTTCTATAAATGACTATTTCTACTATATATATATATGGGTGTTCCTGTTTGTATTTTTTCAATACATTAGTAATGTAATGAATAACACCTTTAAAAAAACCTACATCTCTTTATTTAGTTCATAAATGTTCAAGCAATACAACAGGTAGCTTTGGGAGAGGTTTTAAACAAAATTACTGTAAAGCAGTTCTAAAGTTCAGTTATCACAATTTCCCCTTTGTCCCAAATGAACAATGTTTTAAACCACTTTTTTTTTTTTTAAATAAAATAAACCTGATTATGCTGTTAGAACTAGCTTATTTTTTCCCTGTTTCACTTATCTTTTCAAGTCCCCTTGCACTTTACTTGCCTTTGGCTTTTGAACTAGTCAGTCTTTGAAAACTACATTTTCAGGAAAAGCCCCAGCCATGGAAGCCAGTTTCATTTTTTTTATTCCATATACATGTGCACCTGTCCGCTTTAATTAGAGGAAACCAAACCCACCAACCAGCCACTGCCAAGCTCATGGGCAGCAGCTCTTAACTCCCTAGCAATAGGCTGAACATAAACTTTTGCTGGAGGTGAAGCTTTTGAAAACAATCATGGAGAAAAAAAAACACTGACATGATTATTTAAAGCTGCACATAACAGCAACCTACCTCAGCATTTTGGCAGGAGTATAAACTGTTTGTACATCTAAGGAGAAAGCGCTTCAAGTTTACTGCTTGCAGGATATTAAAACTTGTAGGGTCTCTTCTATAATTTATGACTGGGGAGACATGACAGATCTGTCTCGACAGGTAGCTTGTGGCACTTATGTTGTAAGAAGACCAGTGAATACTTAAAAACTAATGCGCATTGCATTCCATGACCAACTCTGCCATAACTGTGCCTCAAACATTTATTACAACATTGTGATAAATAATATACACACCATATCTTTTAAAATACCATATAAACCGTACCTCAAGAATAGGGAGCCAGCTTCCCTATACGTTATCCTACAACATGTCCCTAGCCTGTCTGGGATTTTTTTTTTTTTTTTTTGTAACCTAAGCACAAATTTGTAAAACTGGATAACTACAGTAAGCAGCCTATGCTATTACACAATTAATGCAGTATTGGCATTAGACTTGTATAAACCCTTGCACATCAGCAAACTTAAATATTTAAGTGCCAGGCATACCATAAACATTTCCATCTTTAAGCCTGCACTGGGCAGTCGAGCAGGGGCAGTAAGTGCCGGGCCTTTTCACCAACTTCACGTCACATCTACCATTTCCCAGGTATTGATGTTCCACACTCGTACCAGCGAACATAGTTAATTTGAGTCTCTCCACCTATTTTTCCAAATTTGACAGGTTCCTGGCGAACTGCCCTGAAATATCCTGGAACAGAGAACAAAGTATTGTTTGCATGAAGCCCTCAGACAGTACCTTCCTTTGATTTCCCTGTGAAGTTTGTATACCATTCAGTTAATGGCTAAGCTAGTCCCTCAGCTGTTAACCCATCTGCCACAACCAGGTCTGTTTGCTGCCCCTTCATCAATGAGCACTCTGAAACTGCTGGCGTTTGTCCACCCCACCCAGACAAAAGCTGAAGTGCTTGGCATAGCTGTGGCCCAGAGGAGAAGGGATGAAGCCTTCCCTTGAGACTTCTGCTCTGAGCACCCATCCATGGATGGTGCTGGCAGGGCAAGGCTGGTGTCCCCTCCTGCCCCTCCTCTGGGTGCTGCTGGGCTCTTGCCTAACCAGGAGGTTGCTCCTTGCAAAGTTACAATGACTAAAGGGTACCCGCTGCAGTAGCCTTAACACTCTTGAGAACTGAAGTAAAAATTGATGTTTGGGAATATTTCACACTGTCTCCCCAGCCCCAAGCAGAAGACCATACCTCCTGCTTTCAGCCTGTTTTCTATGACCACAAACATGCTTCCCATTCAAGCAATTAACGTTAAAAATTAAACTGAGCAATCAGTGCTGAATCCAACCCGCTCAACAGAAATGTATGTGTGGCTAAAGCATGCATGTGTGCACAGACAGACACACAATATACTGTTCTACAACTAATACATATCAGCAGTCATGCTGCCCTCCCTGCATTCAGCTCAAATATACATAGTTAATTCTGGTCTGGACAGAGTTAATCTTGCCACAGTCAGGGAGGAACTGAGCAGCAACGGCCAATCTGTCCTTTCCTCTGTTCAGTTCATTTTCTAGGAATACAAGCTACAGAAAAGGTGGGGGCTTTTTTTGGTGGTGTGTTTTTTTTTTTTTTCTAAAAATGAATGTAGCTCATGAATCAATTAAATCCAGTTGCTGAAAACAAACTGATTTTTAATGTCTTCTAAGCTGGGGTAGTGAGATTTTTATGTAGGTTTCGGTTTTGTTTTTTTTGGTTTTTTTGTTTTTTTTTTTAAATTTATAAAATCATTTTTAAAAAGTGTATCTGATACAACCGAGAGGTCTGCTGTCCTGGCAACACCAAATCGGATTCAGATAATCCCTTATATAAATAAAATACCTTTATAAATGGGCAACACTGAAAACATAGCCCTCTTTTAAAAAAGAAAAACCACATAAGAAAATGCCTTTTAGATCATTCATGTACTCAGTTTTTGGAAAACCTGTGAAAGATTTAGGCACTTCAATCACCCCCACTCACTCACTGCGATGTGTTTCTGTAATTTTGTTAGGTGTTTTATAAATGAAGCTCTACAGACAGGTCAACATGCTGGTCAACATACAATGGTCAATATTGTACTGAAAACTGTTTTGATATTTTTCTCAGTAAAATATTCCATGACACAGTCAGCATGCATGCTTGTATCAATACAGCCCGTGTTCTTACCCCACACGGGAATGGAATACCTCACACTGGCACTCCTACATACAAGCAAGGCAGGAGCTCAGCTGACAGAAGTAAAATCTTCTTCTGCTTGAGCCTCAGCAGCATGTGAAAAATAGCCAGGCAGGTCACAGCTGCATTTGGGACACCCAGTCCCATGCCCGCTTAGACCAGACTGGAATTCCAGGCACCCGGTTCAAATTAGTGCACACAGAATTACTGCAGTGTGAATTATATTTTCCAGTAATAACTTTTTAGTTTCTTATTAGCACTAAACAAAGCCATTTAATGCCCAACTGATGATTTACTGCCCTTTAAATCAACCTTGCTAGTTTGACCATATAACACTTCATGCCTCTCTGCAAACTCAAATTTGTGGTTGGGTTTAAATATGTAATACCAACTGTGAATAATGTGTTGGAATGTTTTAAACAGAAGAGGGGCTGTTGACTACGTAACAGAACCCGAGTCATAACCTCCTTTTTAATAAGTCATCCTCAAAAACTTCTTGAGTCTCTTCTGCCTGCAAAGCCAGCAGTCCCTTTCCATTGCCCACCCCAGCAGAGGGTACTAAATCCACTGGCAGGAAAAAGAAACACACAAAGGCATTGCCAAGATTTGCTACTGAGACAGGCATAAGGAATTACCATCTTTGACTGGTAGGTCTTCTTGCTGTCCTGTCCTTCCATCTAAGAATGAGTCTACAAATTGGCAGTGATCTTCTCCATGGCCCCTCTGGTCTCCTATGTTATAAAATTTTCCTGAAAGAAAATCCATATCCAGTGAGGTGAGGGCTATTTCCAAAAACCACCAGAGGCGATGGGCTGTGCTCTTCGTTCTGTGGAGAAGCCAAGGTGAACACTACGATTCTTTTCCTCTAAGGATCTGTAGCTGTAATTTGAACATTGTGTGCATACTCCAAATACACTGCTCATGGCTATAGACAAAAGTAACCTCTTCCTGGCCAAAATCTATGCCTGAATGTATTTTTCCCCTCCTAACATTTCATACAGTAAGTGAAATTCTGTTATTACGTCGAACCTCATCCTTATCATATCAAAAATGAGATAAGTTTTGCTGGTGATTTGAAGGGAAGGCAGGTTTGGTTCCACGTCAGGAAGCCCCCAGTAACTTCAAAGATGTTTTAATAGACCACCTCATAACATAGCCAAGGCCTGTTTTATAAATTATCATATTTTTACAACACGTATGTGCAAGTGATATCCTTTAACAAAGAGATGACCTCGGTATAGTAACTGCTTATCCAGAGCATGAAGTGTGCCCGTGTATTTATTTGCAGGATCACTTAATGGGACACTTGACTGCAACTGAGTAGAAAACAAGGTCTCAAGCGCCCCATGCAGTGTGGGCTGACGTTACGGGCTGTGCTTATCCTGTTAACGAGAGGACTCACAGTGAAGGAATTTTGACAGAGAGATGTTTTTACTTACTGATTTTATTTGCAAGACATTAGTGGAATTCAGTTCAGAAGATGGAGAAAAGCACGCTACCTTCTCTTCTGAGGCCTTGTCAGGAAACATTTCAGATAAACTTACTGTTTTTTTCTAAACTCCTTTATTGCACTTGTTAATACGTTCAGACTTTGGTTGTGAGGTTGAAAAGAAAGGTGAGAGCATTCAGAAATAGGCTCAGTACTCAGGTATAAGCTAAGCAGAAAGTCCAGTTACTCATTAGATGTTGGTGTCCTGTAGCCTTGAATCTGTGCCAATGTGGCCGTTTGAGAAGTGGTGAGGTGGCTGCTAATACTGCTCCCCAAAGTGCAATTAATAAAAGAGCAGCCTACCAATACACTCTCCCTTTCTCATATTTTTGTGATCTGATCAATCTCTTGCCAAAAATTCTCACCTCCAGTCTCTGTGCATGCAGTTCTGCTCTAGCTTTAGAAAATTATTTATTACTATCTAGTTTTGGCCGCAGGCATGTTTTTTTCCATAGGAGAACTGGTCAGAGGGAGTTCCTCTCAGCAATTTTTTGGTCTGAAATTAAGAACATTCAGGCTGCCCAAAACAGCTTTTTTTTTTTCCATGGCTGTTGAAGGTCACACTTAGAATTTTTTTTTTTCTTCCCTCAATAAATGCTTTTTTTTAGGTGGCCTGCTTTTCTGGAATGCCTACAGCAACTGCTCTGGAGGACTGTTAAATGAGGTCAGCAGCGGATGCTGGTTTATAGAACAGTCCTGGCATGTGTAATGTAGATCAGTTTTTCTTCATGAGAGACAGAATAAACCAGATATTTTTATGGCTAACACAAGAACAGTAACTTTCAGATACACACATTCTTGTTTGACCCACAGTATAACCTATGCATAATTCAAACAATCGCTATACATAAATTAGCAGCATTCTCAGCAACTATTAAATTCTTACTGCCCAGTTCTTTCCAGAGTAAAGGAACACACTTAAAAACATTTACCTAAAAAATGACTAGATTAATCTTTCTCTTTGGGGATAGAAATTCTAGCATAAAGCAAATTTTTTTTTTTTTTCCAGTGTACTGGGTGGTCTTAAGAAAATGGGTGGTCTTAAGAAAATTAGATACCATCTTTGTTTTATACATTGTGAATTCTGCAACACTAGAACTAAAAATTCCTGCTAAAAACCAGCACACAAAGATATGGTTGTTGACTGCCTCATACAAGAGCATTTGTAAAATGCACCCAGATTTCAAGATCATTATGCTGCTGAAAACAGCAAAGCTTTGGAAGATATTTTCAGTGTACAGTGGAACTCAGACCTCAGCACAGCCCTTCCCTACCAGCACACATTGTCCAACTGGCTGGCGCTGGCACATACCCTTCCGCTGGTTTCAGGGGCATGATGAGGCACGGTGTGACAGTGAAACACACCAGAACAGAGTTTGGCTTCAAATTGGAAACCTCACTCACATATAGAGGCCTGTGCCATGACAGTCTCTCTTAGGAAACAGGGGGAAGGCAGCTTTCCTTCTAGAGAAATATTTCTTTCAAATATTGTGACAGCTGGCACCGGTTATAAGAATTCGAGGGCAAGAACCAGGCTTAGCAAGTATAATGAATGCAACGTGGCTACCATCGTCTTTCTCCAAGCAAGTTAACTCACCACCGTTCCAGCAAGAACAAAAACAATCTAATGAAAATAGGAAAATGGGGTCATGATATATTAAACTATTCTTCTAAGTTTGAAGTAGCTTTCAGTGCATTGTTAATTCACTTGATTTAGGGCTGAAGTCTAGTCCTGCTAGATTAGCACTGCTATTTCCTCTGCTGGCTGCTTTCGTGATACCCTATGCCTCATTACCAGCGTTTGACATTTGATCACAACTGGTTAGTACAGCAACAGCTGAATGAATGATACCTCTGTTCAAAACACCCTTTTTTATTCACATAATTGCCAAGATATTATTTACGTATGAGGTATTGTACTTACTACTAACGACAGCGCTTTCCTTCCTTGTCTGTTCATGGGAGAATGGTACTGGGTGCAAGGCCAGGCAGCTTAAATTACATCAGCATGGGCTGCCCTGCACTCTCCTGCTCTTTTCTCTCCATGTTCCTACATACAGACACCAGAGCCCTGCTCCTGTGAGGTGCTGAGCTCTGAGATGGGGTACCTTTGGGTTATGAGGCACAACGTTCTGCCTAAATATCAATTAACTGAAAACCACTGTTTACAGGCTGTTTTTCCTCAGCTTACACACAGCATATGCCACTTGATTCGGGTCTTAAATACATCACACTCTACTGGCCTTAAGATACTGAACAAATCTTGAGAAGGCCAGAAGGCTGCTGTTAAGTAATAAACCATATTTTTCTTATAATAAGAAAAAAAAAGGTGTGGGGGGGAAGACGTTATAAACAAAAATGGGGAATGTGAAAAGAAAACAAAAATGTCAAAGCAGTCGAGTAAAATCTGTTGACTAGTGTTGAAACCATGTATTTATGAGCCTCACAGTAATGAAATAACCAGATGTTTACCAAATAGGATGGGAATGATTGAGTCTAACCTTGGTCTACAATTAGGTCCTAATCCTCTAACTAAGAACAATCCCAGGATACCCTTCAACTACAAATTTGGCACCTTTGCAATATATACTAGTGACTGGTAGAGACCTGGTCTTTATTAATATTTTGTATAACTCCTGGGATGCTAACAGGTACTGCAAATCAGGTGGTCACCACAGAACAATGACTCTTGAGTCTGAAAATTCAGCGCATCAGTGATTACTGAGCATAAGCAGATATATCTTTATGATTAATCTGTCTATGGACTAGATTAAGCATACCTGACCACACTTCAGCAGAACCCATCTTATTAAACCTCTTAGTTCTGGAACCACGATATCTTTAAGGAGTGTAGAATGTGGACAACATGGACTTGACTGTCTCTTACCTGTAAGTGAATCACTGAGGTATATCTGGTATCTCAAAGAATTACATAGCTGCACACCTACGAACTTCTTATACCAAGTTCTCTTCACGTATTGTTTCCCTTTGCATTCTGAATAGCTGTCTGAATTGAATGGGATTTCAGTCCAGATAGCATCCTTTCCCACTGCAGGAGAGAAAGAAGGAGGCTGAAGTATGATGCTGCATAGAAAACTATGTACAACAAATGTATCCAAATAAATAGAACTGGAAACCTTGATGGGGCAGAATGCACCACGGCACCAGTCACCTGCATTTTGAACATGAAAGATATTTCAGGGAAGTACCAAAGGGTGCAGGTACGATTAATGCAGTAAACTGCTTCTGCTCTCTGTGTGTGGTGCCAGTTTAGAATAAACTCATTCTAGGACCTTGCTGTCGGAACAATGTCTGTGCATTGTCAAAACTCTCATTTCCAAAGTGTGTGCTACAGTCACTGTTTTTCAGTGGGTTCAAGCCAGGACAGTCAACTTGCAGCAAACTGTAATTTAAAGAAAATACACTTAAAAATTAAGGGTCATGAATTATGTGCAAAGAAATGGTGTCTCAGCATTTGTCAAAGTGATGTCCATTACAAATGCAAAAAGCAGCCCAATTCACTTGAGTGATCTCAGCTGTTTTTCAAAAGCTCAGGCCACCTCCTACCAAATACAGCAAGAGTCTTCTGAGTGGCCTAAAGCAGAGCTGTATCAAGCTTTCAGAAGCAGAAAATTTTTCTAAAACATGATGGCAGATAAATAGTATCATCTGAGTTGTGCTGTGTTGACTTACTTAAAAAGTATGAAGTAGCTTATTCATTTTACAGAGCTTTGTTTTGCTTTAATGACAAGGCTGAGAAAATATGAGGCTGTCCTTGGCTCATTTGTGTACATTGGTTTGAAGCCACCCCAGCTGCCATGGGAGCACCACGTCACGTTGATTGCGTTCCGCTCAGGTAAACAAGCAGCCTGGCATGAATTCCTTAGCAGGGGTGTGGGTGGAAGGAGTGAAATCATGTGGGAATGCGGTTTGATTCCATAACTCATTTAACTGGGCAGTACAGCCACCCCCCCTCATAAAATTATGCTATCTCATTTCTGAAAAAAATCTTGATTGGAAGACACTATACTATACATAAAAGGCTTACTTGAAATTGGCTCGCTCACTCTTGGGTCCGCTGGGGAAAGAAAACAAACATTCAGTCACGCACTGTAAAATTAACTTTCACAATATTTCAATAGAAAAACATTGGTATGTGATTTTTCTACAGCTGACATAAGCTGTAATTTGTGAAACAGAAAGAGTTTTGGAAGCAAAGTTCACTTTTGTATTAAATTAAATTAAAAGAAATAAATTCCTTATGTGAAACTACAGTAATAATGAGCTTTTAAAAATTTTACTTATGGGACAATACCAGTCACAGTTCTAGTAAAAACAAGAGTTTAAACGTGTAATTTACCAGCAAAAAACAATTCTGCCACATCTTTTTAAAAATATCAATTCAAAACTTAAATACTAAAAAGGACCTCTCTGTAATACTTGCCACACAAAACTTGGCTATGAAAGCCCAAAAGTGAGAAACGGATGTGTGCAATTAAGAAAAAATAAAACTGACTGCTTAATTTGTCCAAGCTAAATAGGAGACAGAACATAAGCCTTGTAATTCATGAAAACTGCACTTGGCATAAACATTTTTTCAGTTTTAACAATCTAGGATTACAAAGAGTGTATTCACAGTTTTTAAATGAGTGGCGTAGTCTGAACTCCTCCCTGACTAATCCTTTGCTCAGACAAAACTCTCATCCATTAGTGACAGCACTAGATGAGGACTACTATATTATTACACCTGTCTCAAAACACAGATTCAGAAAGTCCTTTAAGAAAAGGCTAAATCCATTTTGTGTTTTATACGGTTCTTAACTACTATCAAGCAATAAAGGTATCTTGCTTGCATAAAGTCAACTGTAGTTAGCCCCATGGGGAACTGCAACAGGGAAAGCAAAGGCACTCTCCGATTCTCACCTCTGAGTCAGATAGGACTTGACTTGGGAACCAACCAATGGTCAAAACAGACCTGTATACACCTCTTCAACAGTTTTGCAGGAGAGTAAACAGGACGGAACAGGGCATAGTGGGACATTGATTTTGCCCAACTGCTATTTCTCAATCTTTATTTCAGCCAAAAGACGTGACTATTATACATCAGCCTTCTTGAACAGGTAGCAAAAGTGCCTATAAACAGACCAGCCCAAAGCCTTATGTTGCCCATCCAGAAGTCATTAATGAGTCAGATAGATACAAAAGGTCAGGAATATTCATCTTAAATGACTGAGCCTTCTCTAAGGATAAAGTTAGTTTCTTCTAATGAACACCAGACAAACTCTCCTGGCTTTTTCTTCTGCAGTCTGGCCATCTTACATCCTCACACCGTATAGCCCTGATCTCAGGCTGACCTTCCGTGCGTTACTGTTAACATACTCAGTAGTAAAAAGCCAGTCCGGGGACAGTAAAGAGCAAGACCAAATGTGCCAAATGGAGCAAGGCAGCCTTTCACATATCCCACAAACACGGATACTACAGCAACTGTAAATGATGGTTGGACCTTTGGAAGTTCTTACCTGATTCAGTATTGAATGCCACAACATTGCTACTTGGACCTTCACCAAGAGGGTTTCTAGGTTTCACGTGGAATTCGTAACTGGGGAATAAAGCAGAAGAAACGAAAATTTTGCAAACCAAGCATTCTTTCAGCGTGTGGAGCAAGCAAACTGCCAACACACACCTTGGTGCTACTTTTCTCCTGGAGAAGAACAAAAAGGCCTAATTTCTTGCTCTGAAAACACTGAGACATTCTTTGTCCTAACTGTATAATGCCTCTCTGAACACATAATTTACCAGTCCTCTTGATAATTTTTTTTTGCACACATACTATTAGTGTCTGATTTAATGCACCGCTGGTTTAGGTTGGTCTCCTCTCACATATGCAGTTTCGGTTCTGGCAAAGGGAGCAGCTCGGGTGAGATCAGAAGCAATCTGATAGGCAGAGATGAGTAAAGCACATTGCTATTTATTTGCACATTTCTCATTCATAAGAACACAAACCTCCGATCCAATGCCTCCCAGGCCCACCAACACTGACAGACAGGGCCAGTGGTGAAATACAGGGCATGTCTTCCAGGACACAAGCTCAGCCAAAGCAAAGATCCAATTGTTTGCATATATGCTAATAGTAAATATATGAAGTACTGAAAAGAGATTGTGCAGCATCTCTTTCTTTTCTTTTCATAGCAATGTCACACAACACCAGTTTGTACTGTAGTTCTCATGATCTCTTTTCATCACAGATGTGTTGGGAACCAAACACAGGGCTATGAAAACAGAACAAGTCTGAAGAAAAAAAATCCAAACCAGACTCCTCTGCTTAAGGCTCTCCTACCCATCAATACTTGATTAACAGTGAAGGACAGGCAACTCTGCAGCTCAGCTGAAACTTACACTTTCAGTTAAAAGCTCTAGGTAAACAGCTATTGACAGACAGTTGCAAATCTAAAAACATTACACAGAAGACAAATGAGGCAGGCGAGTTACAAGGGTGAACACTGGGACACAACTAAGATCTTACATCAAGGGCAGAGCTAGGAACAGACTCTGTATTTCCTTCCTCCCAGCACGCACTATCCCAGCAAACCACTTCTCAGCTCTCCTGGCTGCAGGCTAGCAGCACCTGGGAATTTCACTGCTCAGCAAGGGCTCAGTGCCTCCCTGTAGGACCTGCACACCCTCCATGCCCCAGCACCCTGAGGAGCAGCATATATACACCCAGTCAACAGCACCCTCTTCATGTTTCCCCATGAGCTATAAGCAAGAATCTGTCCCATGCATGCCACCTACAGAGAGACTTTTCATATGCTTTGAGTGATTCATGGTGAATCTCTCTTAACAGAGGATCTTTTTTCATCAGCGAGAGAGATCCATAGGGCACAAGTCAAAAGAACTGCAAGCCTGGAAAATGGGCCCTCATTTTGAGACTAAACACAGAGCAAAATGAGAATCCCAGAAGTGGGCAATTAAACATCCAGCTCGTGACTTGTGAAGGATCACTTACCAATGATAACTTGGTAGCTCATGGCTATAACAGCATTGTAATATATTGCTGAAATTGTTTCCAAAGAGCAATTTTCTAAAGAAAAAACCCATGCCACCCTGCATGGTTGGAAATTTGTAAACTCCATTTGCACATCCCTACAAGAGACAGAATAATCCAATCCAGATTTTGGATTACCTCTTGTTGCTTCTTGGCTCCTGCAAAACCTGAACAGCTCGCTAATTAACCTCAGTGGACTAATCATGCAGTACCAAGCAACTGTTTTCCATCCACAGTACTTCTAAGACAATATTTAACTTTGAAATTGCTTACATAAGCAATTACCTTTATTTCTAGGGTTTTCTTTTCTTTTTTAAGGGAAATACTTATGAAGATTGGTATGCTGAACAGATGCATTATGAATAATTCGTGGACATTTCTACGTGAAACATGGGCTCATTTTGAGTTTTAAAAAGTCTATTTGGAGTAATCTTAACATTTATTCCAATATGCTGCAAGACCATTTTCAGCAACTCATATTACCCTACTGTAGCAGGGAGACATTAAATTAATAAATTTAATAATAAGTTCTGGTCACAAAAACCTTTGTTATCTACTTCAAATTATTTAAACAAATGCATGCTTTTAAAATTGTTTCTGAGCAGTTAATATTCACATTGGCCATGTGGTACAGTAACTTTTTTGGTCAAGAAGTAGTCTCATCTAGCAGGAAAGGTCATTACCCAGAAAACTGTAGCAGAGCAGTTAGAGATTCCTTCTGAAGAGTCACTGAAGCGTAAATGAAGATTTGCTAATTCATTGGGTATTTTAAAGTAATAGCTAGAAAATACATTTTAGAAAATGATATACAAATTAATGCACGCTTAGAGATAAAAGACTACAAAGAAGTTTTCCTGCTTAATTCACAGGAGGAATACCTTATCTAGAGCTTTTATTGTAATATTGATCATTGATAGCTCAAAGTGGCATGTTCTACTGCTTTACTGGGAGTTTATAGTTTGACCTTCTGGATGATAATAATCTGTTTATGTCCCTTTGTACGAAATCAAAAGGCAAACATGAAGAGCAGTGCCTAGGATTCCTGACCTAGAGTTTTTTGATTCCATAGGACTGGCTTCAAGGCAAGGACAAAAACTGTGCAGGTGAAATGCTCTTATGGAGCTGGACTGGGCAGCCGCAGGGAGTTGGAAGGTAATGACACGGGCAAGTGTGAACTAAAAATCTACAGTCAGCATATTTGGAACTCACCTGAATATGTAAGGTTTCACAGATTTTGCAATCTGGATTTACATGCCTCTGTCAGGCAGAACATCACAGGCTGGACAAGACAGTGGAGGATTTTGAAACAAATGTAAGTATTTTGATGATTCTTTGAACAAATCTATTGTCCTCAAGAGCTGATATGCCCTATTTTGAGTTGCATCAGGCAACATTCTTCACAGGAAACAGTCCTTTTCACAAAAAACTTAAGTCGATGAAATTGGAGCCATCAATTCTCTAACTCCATAAAAAGACCAAAACAATAACTGAAGACTAAATATTTTCCAAGCAGTGTTTTTCAAATTGTGGTCTAGGGACCACTAGGATCTCTGCAAAAGATCAAACCACAATTGGGAAAATTATGGCAAGATTGAAACAAAGAACTAAAATCCACACACAGAGATTTCAGCTCATGTAAACATATAAACAAAATTGCCAAAAAGGAAAGCAATTAAGAAATGTCTAAAGTTTAGCTTAGTCAATTAGGGGAGGTCTTATTAATAAAGAACATTTTTTTAAACTAAAATATATACAATTCTACAGTTTTGTGGGAGGTATTTTCACACGTGTCCAAGCATCACAGGCTCCTTTCCTCTGCCAAATTCAATCCTGAAACAACAGCAGTAGCTGCAACAGTACAAGAACAACAAACAAGCAGTTTTGGAGATAAAGAGAAGTAGAAGTAACTAGTTGACTGAAAACTGAAAGAGGGAGAAAGGAAAAGTTAGAGTGAGCTCACAATTTTATAGAGTTTACAGATCTAATTGTAATTTTAAAGCCACAGTGTGGCTCTCTTCATAGAAAACCACTTAAAGTTTTCCTTTTTGTGTGTCAGGTGAGAGATTTGAAAAATAAAAATAAAATGGTGAGAAAAGGGTATTTGCTGCAATCTAATGGACTTCTATACAGCCACAAGTGAGGGGGAAAATGCTTAGAGGTTCAAGGAAGTACACAGGAAAATTTAATGAAGGGAAATAGGAAAGCTATATAATGATTATCCCATGTCTACCTGTTAGCTAAACTTATTGATGAGAAACCCAAGTCTATATTGCTTCTTTGTATCTGTGTGCTTATGATGCCAAAATGCTGCTACCCAATATATGCAGCAATCTAACGTGTGTCACACCTCTAACATCTGTAAGACTGCTATCCTACAACCTTCAGAGACTAGGCCTCCCAAATGGTCTCAAACTGCATAAGACAATAAAAGTCCTTGTGCAGGTTAAATGGACTTGGCTTACAGTAATTACTGTGCAGAGCATATTTTTCCACCATAGGAAATCGCTATTCCACATGGAACTTTGGCAAACATAGATGCTCCTGCGTTTTTCAAATCATGCAAAAGGAGAAGATTGAAGATTGCAGAACTGAAAATAGGTGAAGAGAGATTTTCACCATAGTAGGATGACTGGAGCAGCTGAGTACAGTCCTGGGACTTGAGGTCAATTTCTGGGGAGCTGCTGGTGGTTAGGTGACAATCATGCATGACTGTCTCAATGTGTAGAGCTTCTCTGTCTCTGCAGTGTGCTTGGATAGCAGTGTGATCAGATATAGCAAATAAAACTGGGTTTATGAACAGGGAATGAAAAATGAAAGAAAGAAAGAAATTTTTTGAAGTGCTGGGCTTGTTTGAGGTGTCTTTCTCCTAATCGAGTTGGAAGAAGGATGAGAGAAATAGGAAATGCTTACCCATGAAGCCTGACATCAACAGCAATTTAGTACAAAAATCTGTTATTTTTGTAAAAAAGGGTACAAAAAAACGCTAGCATTTTTCTGCCACTTTCTGCATTTTTCTGCATTGTAACTTTCACTGTAGTTCTCATTTCTTGACCCTTGCTGTTAGCAGACGCTAGCCCCTCTGCATCAATATATTTTTTTTTTCCTTGTGTGTGATTAGCACATTTTCGTTGCTAACTGCAACACAAAACAATACTAGATAATGGTAAGGACAGCATGAGCAGGCAGGTCTGAATTACTGTGTGTAAGTGCACTAAAAGCTTATTCAGTAGAGATTGAAGACTTACTTTGTATGGACTTTAAGTAAATTATAGTAACATTCTCTTTTTTTGTTTCATGCCTTTTGTAAGACATAATGAAAAAAACCTTTTTTGAAGAAAATAATCTACATGCATTATAAAAACAGTTTGGTACATGCATATGTCCTACACATTTCAAGTTTAATTTACAATTTTGATTGGTTGGATGGTTGGGTTTTTGGAGGCCTTAGATTTGTTTTCTGGGTTCTGGTTGTTGGCTCCCCCCCCCAGCATTTCCTGTTATTTGTGTTCCTCAAGAGACTTCATGGCTGAAAATATACTTTGCCTTGGGACACA